CTGATGATGGAAAAAGAAGGAAGCCAGAATCACTTCTGGGAAAAGTCGAAAGAAACGTTCAGAAGAAGTTGGAGGAATTTTCCGTAAGAAACATCCTAATTAAACTGGAACTAGCTTCCGTGGAAAGATGGAAGACATTTCCAGGCAATTTAAAGAGCCTTCTTGAGCAAACTCAGAATAGACTTTCGGAACTGGGTGCAAGGCACTTTCAGGAGAAGTTAGAAGAAACTTCCGAGGTAAGTTTGAAAAGTATTTAAATGGAAATCGGAAGAATCTTCCGGAGATAGTTAGAAGAAGATTCTGAAAGAAGTTAGAAAAAAACCTAAGAATTGATAAAAATGACTTTTCCCTGCATTTTGAAATTAGTTCAGCAATGTTTCATCGGTACATCATTTCTTTTTCAATAGTTCTCATACGAAAGAATTGAGTTATGAGTAAGACATAGGAATAATCACTCTGTACAACATCAACATTCATCCTAATTTGACATTAAAGGGAATGTTGAAAGGTAAAGGTAATGAAGATTTTACTGCTTGAAAAGTGCAAAAGAAGTTTGAACTCGAAGACCCATATACTCATAAACATCATAAAGTATAAGCGATGATTGTTATGATGAGTTTGGAGAGCTAGGCAAACGTAGACAAATATATTTCTTAAAATCAGTTGAATTGTGTAGGTGCCCCACATCAAATTGCATCACGAAAAAAAAACGCTGTAGAAAATTACCCATTGGGTATTTTCTCTTGAAAATTTGGGTAGAAGTAGTTTAAAGTGTATTGTATTTTTATCGCTGTCAGTTTTTCGAAAGTTGATTTTGCACAAGCACGCAAATTCCCATTCCAAAAAAGGCAGGAGCTTCAGAAGCCGATCATTTTCGTAGAATATCTATTTGTAATGTGGCTAAATGGATAGGTAACCAGCTTCGAAAATTCACAGGAGATCCAGGGCTCCATCAACCAGCATTTACAAGAAGTAGATCAACAGATGATCATATATTCATTGCTAGGCGAGTCATGGAAGAATATTGGAATGCAGGAAACAATCTAATTGTTTTAGCGTTGGATATCAGTAAGGCATTTGATACAGTAAATGTGAAGAGTTTAAGAGAAGTTTTACTTAATTTAAATGTTCCATCTAGATTAGTTGACAGGGTGTTATTATGTGTTAAGAATGAACTCACTAGAGTTTTATGACCAATTTTCTAAAGAGTTCAAAAGAGGTAAGGGAATTAAACAAGGATGTCCCCTGTCACCTCAACTTTTTAATTATTTAATACAAGATGTTCTTAAAAACGTTGCAAGAGATATTCCTGACTTAGAATTGATAGATGTAGATTGCTTAAAACTGCCGATAATTTTAGCATTTGACGATGATATATTAATAATAGCAAGAACTATAAATGAGTTAGAGAATATTCTACTATGCTATCCAAAGTAGGTCTTAAAATCAATAGGGAGAAAAGTCAAATTTTAGTCACATACCCAAATGACAAAGCAGTACAGCCAAACGAATTAATGCTTAATGGAACTGCTTTTAAAACTAGTGAATATATTAAGTATTTAGGAGTTTGTCTGACAGCAACCCTAAACAGGAAATTAACCAATAGGCATAGATCTATAAACGCTTTGAAAACTTCAAGATTAGTAGTAGATTTTTGTACAAGATTTCATCCGAGCTGGGAATTAGGAAAGCTTATATATAATACAGTTTTGGCGCCAGCGTTATTATACGGAACTAAGGTAGCGGTATTAACAAAGAAAAACAGGGTGGCACTAGCAAACTACGAAAAAATTATTCTAAGGAACATTTTTAATAGCTATAAAAAACCAAGTAATATGAAATTTAATGCAAGAAAAATTTTAGCAGGACAAACAATAAATAGACGAGTTAGGGTAAGCAGAATATGTTATTTTGGACATATTAGAAGAAGAGAGATGAATCATCCACTGCAATTAGCGTATAGGTTCAAATTCAACAAGAAAAAAGAGGGTAGACCAAGCCTTACTTGGAGAAAATATTTAAATCAGGACTTTGATAGATATGAAGAACTTAATATAGAAGAATGGGAAGAACTAGCTAAGGACAAAGAAAAATTAAAAAAGAAAGTGGAAGAAATTTATAATAATGAGGATAGCGAAATTTCAGATGGTGTATCGACAGAGGAAGAAGATCGAGGAAAAGGAAATTATAAACACTGGAAGAAAAAAGGACAGAGAATGTGTAACAAGGACTATTGCAAAAAAAAAACTAATCCTGGTTGTACCTCTTTTTCAGTTACATGCATTCCGGGTGACGAGCGAACATGATGAAGAAGATGGCTTTATCACAGAGCCCCATCTCGGAACGAGTGGATTATTGAACGACATGGTTTACGATTCAAAATTTGTTTCCGTAATGATAAGTATCACTAAAATCAACTCGTAAGTATAAGTATCATTACAATCAACTCGTATATACATTGAAATACATAAATAAAAGGGAAGGGACGGTCCAACAGGGCACCCGATTGAAGCGATTTGGACGGGGAGAGTGGGAATTCCAACTCCCTGTTGATAACATTTCGTGGATAAAGGGCGGACTCTTCTCCCCACTAATTGGAGCATCTTCCTGTTTGGGGGCTTGTCTTTTTGACCAATTGGCTGATCAAGTTGCTGGAAGGAGATTCTCTTGTTCCGTAGATGCGTATAGGCGACTTTGCCTATCGATCTACCCAATCCGTTTTTGGCCCTTCATACAGCGACATGTTGAGGACAATCAGAGGTCATTAAGCTTGTTCAAGACAAACAGAGAAGAGAGCCCACTGCTGTCGGACTTAGTTTCCGTGCTACAATGGGTGGTAAACCACTATCATGCATCATGCATGCAATAGGCAACATATAGTGTTTTAATTGTGTAAAGATCTTTAAAGTGTAAACCAAAACGCTTTATAAAATTAAGCATATTGCCTGCTCAATGAATAATTGTGTTATAATGATCCACAAATGTTAGTTTAGAATCTAGAATAACTCCTAAATCTCTTATTTTATCACAACTTTGAACAATTTGATTGCCTAATGTAATACGAATATCTGGCTTTATTAGTTTTCTGCTGTAAGTTATAAAATTACATTTTTTAACGTTTAGTTCCAACAAACTTTTACAACACCACGTATAAAAAAACATGAACTTCATTCTGAAACGTATTCATATCATCATCATTTCTTATCTCTAAAAATAGTTTCATGTCATCAGCATAAATAAGCACTCTGAGATTTTTCAAAATAAGGGAGATATCGATAACGTACAAAATGAAATGAAGAGGTCCCAAGTGCGAGCCCTGTGGAACTCCTGACGTGACTTGAATTGTGTTAGATTTTTTCTCGATGAATCTTACAATTTGTCGACGGCCCGTTAAATATGACTTAATCCAGGTGAGGAGTTTTATCTCAATTCCCATTTTTTCTAATTTAAAAATCAACATTGGAATTTCAAGTCTATCGAACGCTTTACTGAAGTCAGTGTAAAGAGCTTCTATTTGGTTTCCCTTGTCCATTGCTGTTAATGAGTAATCAACAAATTCCAGGAGGTTTGTTGTGGTAGAACGACCTTTAAAATAGCTGTGTTGTGCATGTGTTTTATTTGGCTATGTTTTATTTGGCTGAAGATATTTTCGTTTATGATTGATTCGAATAGTTTAGGAATGCACGAGATGATGGTAATCCCACGATAATTTCGGATATCAGATTTTTTACCAGATTTATAAATGGGTATTAAAAAAGATTTTTTCCATTCCTGCGGGAATGTACCAGAGTCAAGTGACATATTAAACAGCCAGTATAAAGGGGTTGTGAGCTCAATTGCTAAATTTTGCATGAAGGCTGGTGGGATTTCATCTGGTCCTGAGCCTTTAGTGGCGTCCAAATCTTTGAGACCAGTCAAAATATCCCCCCTCCCCCCAACGCACCGGAACTAAGGCCCATCGAAAAACACTGGGTTATTTTGAAGCAGGCACTACGGAAGCATCCCAAGGAGGTCAAATCTGAGGAGATATGAAGAAAAGTGGGTTTCCGTACAGAAGAAGCTGCAGCCAGATGTTGTACATAACCTAATGACTGGAGTTAAGCGTAAGGTGCGAGCGTACAGTTATGGTATTGAAGTTGAATGAAATAAATATGCCAAAAGCTTACTAATGGGTTATGTTTTATTGTTTGAAAGTTTGAAAAAGATCGGTCAACTAGGTTATTTTCTACATCATTTTTTTTTTCCCGTGATTTAATTTGATGTGGGACACCCTTTATAATACAGCTTATGCGCAAGCTATCAAACGTATTTAAATTTTTGAAAGATCGAGAAATTTTCTAGAGTCTTCTTTTTGATGATATATTATTTTCACAAAATTTGGGGGGCGACAAAAAAAAAAAGGAAATGTGCTGGCCTAATTAAGGAAGAGAAGCAATTTTTCTGTTGAATTCGAAACGATGCATCGTGGTCCTTGAATATAAAATATATATTCTCTTCTCTTCTATTCAACCATCCAAACCAAGTTTATATATTGTACAATGCGCTCATTACACTGCCCTGAATACAGTAAACTCTCCATGAGTCGATGTTCCAAGTGTCGAAATTGACCCATGGATCCAAACTAGAACTTTGTTTTTTCTTGGAAATTTAAACTTTCATATCCCGATACATTCATGAGTCAAATTAGTCACATCGAAATCGACTCATGAAGGATCCACTGTGCATTGACCAAAACAACAATGTTTTAATTAGCACATCACCAAACACGACGAGAATTGCTAATCAATTACTTCAGAAGCCGCAACGGACAAACCAAATAACAATCATACAATCAGCACGAACCACGGAAAGTAATTGCTATGCATTCAATGACCGGAAATTAAATCTGAATACCGTTCATATGAAATTATCGGCCAAAGAAATTATAAACATTGCAATATTTCCATATCGGAAATCAAACCAGAACGGTTATAAATGGAAGTAAATATTGAGTTATTTACATGGCGTTTTCTTGGTGTTCTCCCACGACGGCGAAGGCTGCTTGCAGGAATAATTGGGTATAATTGTACCGCTTGTGGAGTAACACAACACGTACCGTCCACCCGTCAACGACCTCGGAGGAAAGCGCCACACACTACATTTATTCAGCTGCACACAATGTAAATATTTGGATCATTTGCTTCTTTTTCATTCGATAAATTCCCTACGACCGTGTGTGTATTTGTCACTTCACTACACACTGCTTATCGACTTAATTCTTCCATTTGATTTCGTTGGCCGCTCACAATAGGCCACATTTTATTGAGGCAGGCGCCTATAATTAGAACTATACTCGATTGTTGATGCTCTCGTCGACACCCTTCAGATCACTTATCGCCAATCTTCAGTGGGCGGATATCCCGTTCAATTTCAATACACCACCAGACCAACGCTAGACGGTCAATCGAGTATAGCGCGAGGGATATAACTTTATTTATAAACGCACACACAATCGTCGTCTTCGTATGAATCTGACTCTGTTTCCACTACGTACTGACTCGCGACCAGCTGTTCTAGAAGCTTAAGAACAGAATTTGTTATTTTCACCACTACGCACTGCTGCAGTCACCGTGTTCCAATTTATTCCTCATTCAATAAATGCTAATTTAATTCGCCGGATCACTTCACTAACGAGAACTCTCCACTCAGCTGCTTTCAAATGCTTCGTGACTAATAATGCAGCGAAGAAGACTGCATGTCTCCGTTGTTTGGTTGGCTTATACTTTCGCTTTCATTCACTCTTAGGCCTCGGTCAACCACGAGACGATATTCATTTAACGAGACACTCTCTTTAATCCATCCAATTTAGATTCTGCAGAAAAGCCTACCCTAGAGGCGTTTGGTGGGTTCGACACTGGAATTAGGTTGTTTGAATTTCACTGAGTTACACCGACTAATCCAACCTTCATCAGAATTTTTGGCATTACCACTGCTGTTTTTCCACCAAAAAAACCTTTGCCCCACTTCGACACGATTAAGTTTTTACTAATGGAAATTATTACCCTCTGCAGTACAGCTAAGACCCACCGCCCTTGAAACGTGCACATACGGAAAAACACGGTCCACTGCAATCAGCTGTTAATCCTACTACAGACTATACTGCAATCCCATACAGCATGCATGGGTCAGTCCCACTTGTTTGCATTGGTCAACCACCGAAGCGACCGCCAATAACCGAAGCCATCGAGCTACGCGCGAATACTCGACCAACAGGAATAGGAACTCAATAATTTATCCCGTGTCCACGGAAAAATCGACTGAACTGTAACACGCCCGGAATCAGGAAGAACGATTTTCGGACTACCCCCGGAGTACGCGGCGAGACTACAACGTCAAAACCGTCCGAACGGAACCACCGACGAGATTAAACTGAACGGCAACTTCCTGGGGCCGACCGTAGATACTCGTCACGTCGTCGTTCCCATGAAATCCTAGTGTTGAACATCCCTACAGCAGTCACATCGCCAATTCTGACAGCTCCCAGCTTCCCAACTCTTATCTTACTCCCCGGACAATGTTGCGTTATCACCAGTGGAGAGCATAAGAAAGGTCGCGTTCTCTCACTCTCATCAAGTCGAGGGAAAATCGTCATTCTCCGAGAGAAAGAGAACGAGAAGAAAATTTCGCCACGCTCGAAGAGAATTAATTTTGGTCCCCGCCACGCTGTAGCTTGTAGGTAAGTAGATAGATACTGGTAGAACCTAGCACAATGTACTAATGTGGAATTTGGTCGGTACTGACTGGTATCGAATGCCGTCACATGCACATGTTTGACACAGCACAAATTTCTGAATGAAGCTCGCTCTCAACATCAACACGACGGCGGACATGTGGCTTGTTGGGGGGTCGGTGGTCGGTGTATCGCTACGTATAGATTATTTTGAGCAGTAAGGTGAACTGTAGTAGATGCAATGCACTGTGGGCTGCAGCGATAGGAATTGATATCGAAATGTGAACCTGAAACCAGTCTAACTCTCCAAATAATTTAGCCTGTTTAATACCGTTCTCATTCATATTTCAGACACCTTTATATTTCGGACACTTTATAATTATATCGTTAAATACTTGTACACGTATATGATAGAAACATTAAAAATATATTACGCTTGTTCCTATTGTCAGTCCGTGGTTTTACAACCATTGTTTATTGATATAACCCCTGAATGATTACATTTATGGCGAAAATATTGACGCACTTCCAACATTCTTAAAAAATAATGTGTCGCTTTGAAAAAAATGTGATTCATATTTCAGAGAAGACAGTTTTATTCATTTATTTAATAATTTCATAAGAACTAACGACATCAAACATGAATTCAAATATAACGTAGGTATAATAAACCAATAAAATGAGATTCTTCAGTGATTGCTATTGTACGTCCTCATTGTCCTCAAAGACAAGTGTCCGAAGCTTGAATCTTGATAGTCCAAGTTAAATGGCATTTTTTTTTTCGAAAAATTTCGGTATTAACACAAAAATATCTTCTCAGATAGCTCTAATTAAGAATACTTTACAGCAATGTATCGAAGAACTGAAGCTAAATAATGTGTTACAATCAGTGATGGCATGATCATTAGAAAATTGATATTTGTCCGCTCTTATACGCTATCAATATCACGCGTGATAGACGAGTGCACGGATGGATTTGAGTTCACTCTCTCGACAAAAAATGACACAACAGCGGGGCCCTGTTTACTGAAAATGAACACATGAATAATACTCGCGTAAAATTTGAAACGGACCTATCAACTTTAGTACACAAAACTGATTAAGCTCTTTTCGGGCGAACCGAATACGCCCACGCAAACTAACAACACCATCGGGTAGGGAAAATTCCCCCTTTCCCGATAGTGCTCTTGGTTTGCGTGGGCGTTCTTCGGTTCTCTCGAAAAGGACCTAGCAAATTGTTTACAAAAGTGTTACGCGAGCATTATTAATGTGTTCATTTTTAGTAAACAGGGCCCCGCTGTTGTGTCAATTTTGTTTCAGTAAATGAACAAAAGTTCACCCGTGCACTCGTCTATATCGGAACAAAATATAACGCTTGATATTGATTTTACAAGCTCCTTTGGTATTGCGATACTATTCACAACCAGAGTTGCGACCTATCACAATCACGATCGCCAAACAGCTGATGGTAGTAACGCTTTGTACATTCCTATCAATGTACTCGTCGAAGCTCTCTCCATGACCATCCATCAAGTTGACGAAAGAAGTAAAAAGCAACTGGTGAATGTCGTCTTCTGTTGTGATCCATCACCGATCTGGTCATTCCCGACAATCACGACACTCATCTGTGCTCGTTTTGAAGCAGTTGCTTATGTGAGTGTGTTAGTGAGTGAGCTCAACAGCTTCCGTTTCATGTTGCCTGCTTTGTGTGTAACTCACACAGTCGCGCCTGCCGAGACGAACTTGGAATGCGTAGGCATTGTTTTAATTTTCTTTTGTCATTTCGCTTTTTCTCATGATCGTACTGCAGAAGTCTTCACTGTTTTCGTTGTGTTTTTCATCATCAGCAGCGAGTGTAACGTTTTGCTTGTGAGCAGCGACCATTACTGGTGATTGTTGTTTGCCATGGCTCTAACTCTCACTGCGTGACAAAACGATCTGTCAGTGATAGTCCGTTGATGCGAAGACGAGTGTCACGTGAGTGTCATGATATTTTGCATCACTGTTCACAACGTGTAAAGTTGAAGCCTACATTGAAGCTGAGAGTTATGTCGTTTTCGTTTTTGCGGTGTAGCTACACCGGTGCTACACTGCCGTACACCGAAATATTTTATGGTGTAGATATAGGATGCACCTTTGTTTACAAATAAATGATGTTGAGTTGTCAAAGAGCTTTCCATGCTAAGTAATGGCAGCCTGTTTGTATGAATAAAATAATCCTTCACTGTGCTTTTTGACACTAACTGGAGGGCGTATGTAGAGTCGGTGTATAATGAGTCACGCCAAGAGTAAGGCCAAGTCTATCTATTGAACTGTCAAACCGGCTACCTATCGAGCAATGTAAACAAACATTACGATGCTATGAAAGGTCCACGAAAGGTATTGCAATATAATATAAATCATCACTATAGCCCGGTGGTCGGAGGTGAGGCCAGCAGCTCATTGCTCTATTCATACTGCATTGGACATCCCGTATCCAACATGTGTGATGTAGAACAGAGACGAGTTGTGTTTGTTCACATCGACCGGTACTGAGTGGTTGCGGTACAAGCACATATCGTCGGTAATAGACGATTGTTGTGTATTGAGAACGCTTGCGCAAAAAGACTAATGGAGGGAAACGGATTCGAAACTCATATGTCATTAGCCAAATACATCCGTAGACCATAGGTCCACCGTTGTATAATTGGCAATGCACCCGTGTACTGAATGGGAATTGTGGGTTCGAATCCCACCGGTGCCCTTAGATTTTTTCGCAAATTTTCTCACACGCACGTCTCTTGCCGATGATATGTGCTAACCTCTCAGTATCTTCTAACTGTCGCATATAACAAAATAAAAATTGACTTTCAGTCGCTAACCTAAATATAAAATATAACATATAATCGAAGAAATGATCATAAATACGCAGTGAGCATTAACTTGTCATGGGATACGTTTAGTAATGACCAGTAATGAGAATTTCTACTATTTTTTGTTAAGATAATTTGACAAAATCACTGATATAATGATTTACTACAGCCGCTATTTTTATTTATGACTAGAAGTCATTTATCACAGCCAGCACCGGTAGTGTAGTGGTAAGCGTGACTGCTTTCTCACCCCAATGGGTCTGGGTTCAATCCCAGCCGAGGTCGGTGGGATTTTTCTGAGGCATACAAATCTCTGGTCTAGGCGTATGTTGACTAGACTCTAGGCGTATGTTGTTCCATTTTCTTCTGTTCCTGGGTGAGGGAAAGGGAGGGATCAAAATCCGAACATCCAGATAGTGTCAAAAAGCACAGGGAAGGATACATTTATTCATACAAACAGGCCGCCATTACCGAGCATGGAAAGCTGGATCGAAGTTTCGGTTGCGTGCGGGTGTAAAGTAAAAATCATGAAACTCAATCTCACCTCAGTATGGAGAGATTTGCAACTGGTGAGTTTTGTTAGCTTGATATTCCGAGCTGCGACATCTCAGCTTGCAATAGCAACCGCAGCTGTTTGCTTGCTGATTTTTGTCTACGAAAATCAAACGTGATCTTGGGCTTTGGTGAGATTTGATTTTTTGATATTTTCTAACAGGGGAATTCACGTATTCTCGGCAACCTATTTAAAATTCAAATCACCTTTGAGTTTCGCCATACAAAATTCAACTGCGCAAAAATCGGAGGTGAGTTTTCAGGTTAAAAATGTCATTGATTTATATTTTGGCGTTATTCATTATGATTACAATGTTGCTTTTGAATCAGTGAATGAAAAACTAACGGAACGTGTATGATATCATATGACGTGTGAGCGGTGTTTATGAATTTTAAACTGGAATGAATTTTTGGCGTTGTGAGTGCGTGAAAATGCGTGCGAAGCTCATATTTGAGAATAATTTTCCGAACACTGTCAGCTGGTATAGGTTGTTAGCTAGAGTGAGGCCGCGTATGCTAAGGGGTGTGTGACAAGAGCGATGGATTTCATAGTTTTTTGGTCGTCGTTTGCTTCATTAGGGGTGCAATGTCTCTGGCTCTGGTCAGACTTATTCCAGTATTTGTTACCTAACAGAGAACTGGCCTTTCTAACAGACCGAGCCCCGTAACGTGGGTAGATCACCTTTTCGTGGTACGTTACGGGATGTAAGATCTACCACCGATTCCTAGTCCCGACTACTTCAAACTAGGGGAACAGGATTTTTCAGTAATCCAAGGAACACATCTTAGTCCTTGTTACTTTTTATGCCTTGTTGATAGTGACAAGACTCGGCTTTGTCTACCAAGGATGATCTTGAAACAAGGCAAAAAATGAGTTAGTTGTCTTCATCTATGTGATTCCTAATCTTCTATCCGTTGTTCCCTAGTTCCTGACTACTTCAAACTAGGGGTACAGGATTTTTCAGTAATACAAGGAACACATCTTAGTCCTTGTTACTTTTTATGCCTTGTTGATAGTGACAAGACTCGGCTTTGTCTACCGAGGATGATCTTGAAACAAGGCAAAAAAATGAGTTAGTTGTCTTCATCTATGTGATTCCTAATCTTCTCTTCGTTGTTCCCTAGTTTGAAGTGGTTAAGACTAGGGTTCTGATGCATGGTCATTATCGGTGTCATACCTTAATTTTGTTGCTAAGGA